AAAGACACTTTACATTTTATAATATTATGTGTCTCCTTCAAGACTGTTTCACTCATTAAGAGATGTCACTATATTCAGGAGAGGAGCTTCAAATTACTTTAATTGCAACTTTGAAACTATAGTCAAACATTGGTCACTACAATATTGTTGTTTTGTTAGTTTTAATATTGAGCACCATAAGCAAAAGTGTTATTTCACGAAACTTGTAATGTATTTCAAATATAATTTTGGTTTTATTAACTCATGTGCATAATTTATTGATTGATAATTCCAATGCATATGGAATGAAATGAAAGAAGAAGTTCATATCAACTCTAAAATACCCCCTTAAATTCTAGAGACAACACTTATTAAAATTCAAATAAATAAGTGTGGGTTTTTCATTCAATTTCACTAAATTAAAAAATAAATTTTAATAACTGCTATTTCAAATAATTAATAACTATGCATTCCCTGATATATACTGACTTTTTTCTCATCAAATGGTAATCTATTTTGTTTTCCCTCCTTTTTTGATGACAGGCAGCAGTTTACAGCATTTTGTATATGACTTCCAAACTTGTGATGTTTATAAGGGGGTCAACTTAAAATGCATGTATATTGAACCTTGTGAAAGATTACAGGGTTTGAATTATTATTCTAGTCTGGTTGACCCCCCTTTTGCCTATGTACATCATGTTACAATGTCATTATGGTGCTGGGGGACAGATTGTGTAATATTTTGACTAAGATGTGTAATACTCTATATTTGAGTCCTCCTTTTTCTGACCCCCATTTTGTTAACTGTGTTTTACTTTTCCGTCATTTACTTTAACAAATGACATATTTCACTTCAACATGATGTTATTTGTTTTTGCCTGTTTTATCAAAAAACAAGCTCAGTCGTTTGGCAGGAGAACTAGGGAACATAAAAATATATATTTTACGTACATTTTTGAAGCTTCGAAAAACAAATATAGGCCTGTCGTTTGCCAAGAAAAGTTTATTACTAAATAAACACAGAAGCAATCAGTTAATTATATCATTTTTATCTAAATCAAAAGAATTATACTATATTAATCCAAAGGATGAGTATATAACCTACTTAAGAAAAAAATATTAAAATGTGCGATCAAAATGATTGATAAGTACTTTAAATTTAATTACATGCAGTTATTATTAAATTCAGAAGACTTTTGAATATTAAGTTAGTAGTCATTTTCATCAGGCAGTTTATAAATACATTTGCGGCATGAAATTTTACTCTACAAATGAATAAATTAGATCATTATTAAAGGCAACAAAATCAAAATTACAAAAAATGAAAAAAAATTGAATAATAGAATTTAAAAAATAATGAAAACATATTTTATAAACCGCTTTCTTTTATTTATGTATCAGAGGTTTATAAAATTGTATCTATTAGATGGTTTCTTTTTCAAGAACAAAGTAATTATGGACAGTATTTTCATCTTTAGTGTCCATTCCGACACTGCACCCAGCTCCCTTGCCTCTATCTCCTTCCATGTAAACATCATTTCCTTCCTTGTCGAACACCAAAGTCCCGTACCCCTCACAATGGAATGATGTTGAGGAATGCGGTCTGGCGTGGTCGTAAACGTCATCTGTATTGGTTGTAGTTGTTGGTGCTTCATTTAAATGGTTATATACACCGTCTTCTGTCGCGTTGGAAGTAGAAATATTCTGCTCTCTCGGAATGGGATTAACATGTGAAATCTTTGTAGGTTTTGGCTGAAATATTAAATTTTTATGTAATGGTTATAAGCCGAAAACTGTCCATTATGTCAGATATTAGACGACCCGAGGCGCGTTAGCGCCGAGGAGAGTCTAATATCTGACATAATGGTCAGTCTGAGGCTTATAACTTACTTAAAACATTTCACCACTATCGAACACTTCCATTGTTAACTTATTGGACAGCCACAGGTAAGGCCTCGTTCTACTTGGATGACTACCTGGCACAGTTCATCAAGTTAGGCCAAAGAAAACCAGTTTTGGCTTTTTTTCTGTCTTATTAATAGTAGGAATCATCGAGAGGTGTTTTATAACGATAAATATGAACATTAACTTTGTTAAGTCTTATTTATCCGCATTGCGACATTTTTTTTTATACATACTACGCATGCGTAAATGTCAGTTCTACTAAATCCTTTACAATTAATTCATTTTACAACGCAGCGACCACGGATGACGACATAAATTTTAATTTTGAAAAAAACCTTTAGAATCGGGTGTTTTGACGATGAGATTTATCGATTACACCAAGATGCCTCCTCGGTTCAAGTTTTCTACTGTGAAATCCGGATATATATTCTTATGTTTCGGAATTTACAAGAAACAGTTTCCCGTGAACAGGTAATTTTTGTAAAGTAATAGGATTTGAAGGATTTTACTCCAACAACTGTTTCAGCTTTTTCTATGAAATTTGGAGATTAATTCTAATGTGTTTTTTTAAAGCAACACTTTCTCTTTTGTGTGCAGGTTTTGAACTCGGAAGGATTTTACTCCAGCCACTCCTTAAAAGAACGATAGACACTCACTCAAACGAAGCGGGACTAGGTGGACAAATGGTCATAAATCACCGAACGAAATTACAGATTCCGTTGGAATTTCGTGAGCAAAATTTTGTGCTAAGTGCGGAAAAAATGGATATTTCAATAAACAAAAAGCCCAAGGTTGTGTGTAAGAAGTGAAAAAGAATGCTTCTCGTTTTTCTTTTGTGTCCATTGGATTCTTTATATGTTCCATGGATCAATCATTGTGAAATGAATCTATTACTCCAGTATATACAATGTAGCAATGAACGGTGAATTTACGAAATTTATGATCAGAGCCACGGATGCGTCTACAATAATGAATCTGAGACATTCAACTCACTGGATTATTTGTGCCATTTTCAATAGAATTTTTTGTGAAATATTAACATTTAATGCTACAAATTTCCTACATTGTTCATATAAAATTGTTTGATTTGTCTTAAGTGATGTTTACTTGTTTGCCTCGCCTTTTGTTCTCATTTTAACGTTACCTGTACCTGTCCAATAAGTTGAATCTTATTGGACACCTACAGGTAACTTATTGGACGGGGTGCAGGACAATAACAAAATTATTGAACCAGGTTAAACAAAAGATGACGTCACAGAAATGTTTTAAATATTTATATGTATAGCAAAGTTACATTTCTGTGAAGCACTTCAAAATATAAATATCGATTATAAGTGTTTTACTTGCTGGAGCCATTTTTAAAATCACTAAACTTTGATCAATTTATGATTGAAAGCATTTACTCGGTAGTTTCAGTCATAAAACGTTCAAATTGAAAAGAAATCTAAAGGAAACAATAACAGGTTTTACAATTGCTTTTCTACTAAATTACTAATTTTCCTTTTCCGAGAAGAGTTCTTTTCATATGCACATAATTGATATCCACATTGAATTATCTGCACAAAAGTTATTAGGTAAAATAAAGTATCCATGATTCAATATTTAGTTAGGATAGTGTAATCTTAAGTGAAATCTGTCATTAGAAAATTTTTCTCAAAATCAAAGGCAGCAAATAAATATATCTGTACCGTTTTGTTTATTGCATTCAAATGATCGTAGTCCCCGCTTTCGAACACTGGGTTTTCGTTACCATTCTGGGAGAAATCGGTCCTCCTTGAAAAGAAAATGGAATATTAGATTATTTTTCAGCCAATTGCAAAGATGAAATATAAAAAAAATTAAAAAGTCTTTAAATGAGCATTGTTCAATATACCAGTAGAGAAAATGTTCATAACACTGTGTTTATTAAAAACGAATATGAGTAGCAATAGGTTAGATGAGAATCAATTTTGAAAAATTCAGTACTTTTCTTGTTCCTTCTTTGTCTTTTTCGAAAGATAAATGAAGACAGAGGATGTAACAATGGATCCAAGTAAAACTCCACCGAATATTGCCCCGACCACAACTCCAGCTGAAAAACCTCCCATTCTTAGATTTGTCTTCTCAATATCTAACAACAGAATATAAGCGGACACAACTGCATAGTACTTTGTACGGCTTTTAGCATGTGCTTTTTTTCTTTTCTTACATGTATCAAAACAACCGTAAAAGAACCTATCTTAAGGCAGGAATTGGGCATATGTTGTTTGTATTAGGCCTTTATGCACGGATAATGATACATTTATCATGTCACAATAACTGTTCTTAAAGAGTTTCTTTTTTGACTTATGTATTTTACATTTTTTCTGTTAAAACATGCAACATGTGCATTGAAAATAGAATGTTCCTAGAATATAGTTTGACTTTTTGACTCTGAAGAAAAATCAATTAAATGAATAGAATAATGAATTAACCATACTTCAAGCTCATAAAATAGATTATACTAATCATTTTGGGAAAAGACACATCAATCAAATTAATTATTTTTAACTGATTCTTTAATCGATAAATCGGAATTTTGTAACAGTAAATCTCGTTTAGTATGAACACGGATATAGAGAATTCACGGACATAACGAATTTTTCTTGGATTCCCAGATATATAAATTTAACATATACTTATACGGATATAACGAATTACAGATATAGCAAAGTAATTTTACAGGTCCCCGGGACTCCGTTATAACCGAGTAATATGTTTTTACAAGGTCAATAGAAGAAATAATAAAAAAAAATTAAGTAACCACGTGTATTTCACCATTGAACCTTGAGCATTCTGGTAATAAAATGCAATGGCAAAAACCTAAACTAAAATGGTTACATATACAGCTGTATGTAAATTAACCTGACCTGCTGCGACATCCGCGGTATTGGATTCAGAATCATAAAAATATCTTCTGTACATATTCCTACTGAAGATTTACATGGGAAAGGAGGACAAAACAAAAAAATGATGTTTTTAATTAGTAATTTTCTTCAATAACATAAAATTTATTAACAAGTCAAGACAAAATCGTTTACCATCTGAAGAAGTCTCTGACGTAGAACCGCTGTAATCTGTTCTTTCATTTGTAGATGGACAAGGAAGGCACGCTTAAAAAGAAATGTGTGTAACAACCCTGATACAGGCATTTTAAATTGGGCGAGACAGCATCTGGGAAGTTGGTCTGTCTCTCCCTCACGGCTGAGATATCTCTGTCTCAGCCCGTTGTCAAGTGTCTGTCTTGCCCTCAAATCTTATCCAATATTTCTGTTTAATTTGTGTAAAGAACTTTATTCGGTAATAACCAATATTTGACCCCCTCAAATCAAACTTTGATGAAGATATATTTAATTAAGTTCTTAAACAGGGGAATATATGCTGACTTCAAAGCACTGAATATTTTCATAAGTAACGACGCCATATGTACGTAATGACGTCACAAACATGACGTAAATTTCAGTTTTTTATGAATTTTACAGAAAAATGTACACATTTCGTCGATATTTTGAGTAAAAGTCACCGAGCACATGTGTGTTCAGGATCAATATTTTTATAATATAATATAATTTGTGAATGATAATATCAATGAAATATGTCAATATTGTTCCTGAACAAACTTGCACTCTATAAATTTTAAAGCTAAAATTGTTGAAATTTTGTCCATTTTGTCCTCTTTCTGAAAAAGGATATAAAATCGGACTAGTTCAATTTGTGACGTCATAAAAACAAAAATTGTGAATACACTGCTTTGACACTATAATATTTTCTGTTTATTTATATTTCTCATACAATTTATTGAATTCAGCACATTTCAGGAAGTTTTAAAAATTAGACTTTTGTGGGGGCAAATATATGCAATATACCGCATATAGTTCTTTAGAGGAAAATTCTTATTCAAATATTAAAAGAAAATCTTTTCTAAGCTAAAATTAAACTTTAATGTTAAAACTATTTATAAACGCTAGATTGTTGAAAAACAGTCTTCTCGAAATGCGCCAAATGATAGTACTTTTTACGTAAGAGAGATAAGTCGTTTTTTTTTTATTTTTTTTTATTATTTTTTTTTTAGAACGGCAACACATTGTGTTTTGAGAAGAAGTGATGTTAAACTTATTGATGGAAAATGTTAAAATACATGTTTTTTTCTTTTATAATTGCTTATGATTATATAAATACGATATAAACAACAACTAATTACTGGTTTGATCTCGTTCCTTACATCAGACTACGGATGGTCTCAGATCGCACCCTTCAGGCTTGGGCTGATACCAACCGCTCAAAATAACAAACAGTGATTAATCTATAGATAAAAAAGTCTTCAAACACGAATCCTCGAAAATAGTTTGGATCAGGTGCATAGGAGGAGTATGATTTCCCTGCTCACTGATCACATCTGCCTTTCGCCCAATGCATTGATCAGGAAAACGGAACATTCCTTAGTCGTATTTGATATAAAATCCATGGCGTTACGATAGATATGAAACGAGTACACCAAAATTCAAACCAATGATAGGAAATATCTGCTAACGAGGTCATTATATTGACCGTGGAATTCTCAAAATAGTTACTTAACTCGACTTTTTTAAAATCCCTTTGCAGAAACATCAGATAATCTGTGAGCATTACGTTGTCAATAGCATAAATCCCAGTGAGCATGGGATAAAAGATACCAAGAATATCAGAATTCTCGTTTATAGGCATCATTTCGGAAGTTCTATGAATGATTCAATGACCTTCTCAGCAAATACAATATATCATTCAGTCAAATGCTGACTGACGTTTTTCATACTTATTGTTAGTTTATTATTTATACACTGAATTGACGACGGATTTTTTTTATCATAACAAGGAGCACTCCTCTTGGGATGATAATTCCACCAAGGCACCTGATCCCACCTTGCTTTTTGATGTTTTGGAGATCCGTCTTTTTTCTGCTTCTATATTGCACTATTTTAAGGACGTTTGAGCTCGAGTACTGTACATTATCTCCATACATTTCGTTTAAAACATTTATCATTCTCAAAACATGACCTTTAGTATCAAATAAGGTTGGAGAGATATACACAACTCCAGGTGACATCTGAATATGACGTCATAAATAAGAAAGGTGACGATGAAAAACTGTAGATACAGATGTACTGGGAGCACTGAGCTCAATAAATGATACCCTCACCCGCCTCGCGGATATCCGAAGTATGTGTCGGATCAAAAATTAAATTAGAAGGCACCCCGTAGGGATCCGGGTTAGAATAGGTCCTCAGTACCCCCTTGCTTGTCGTAAAAGGCGACTAAATGGGGCGGTCCTTCGGAGGAGACCGTATAAACCGAGGCCCCGTGTCGCAGCAGGTGTGGCACGATAAAGATTCCTTCCTGCTCAAACGCCGTAAGTGCCGAGCATAGGCCGAAATTTGCAGCCCTTCACCGGCAATGGTGACGTCTCCATATCAGTGAAGCATTCTGGAGAGGGACGTTAAACAGTATACAATCAATCAATAAATTAAAAGGTGCACAATAGCATTATGTAATAAGGCATCTGTGAAACTTTTATCATATTTTTTTCATTGGCGTAGGAGGCATTGTGGATAAGAGATTGTGTAAATCTTAAAAGGAAGTCACACGGAGACCTTAAGTCATGTCCTTTTAGAGATACAATGTAGCAGGACAAGATATATCTTTATTCTTAATGGTTACAACAAATTAGTTATTCATCTTACTAAATGATCAACAATTTAACACTATGATGATAAATCCTTACGAGTATTCAATTATTATTTCTATCATGAATTTCGTAAAATTTCTGGTTTTAATTATGTGATACACAATTAAAAGAACTAAGTAAATTCAACAGCTTTGAGCATGGAAAGACCTACAATATCGTTATAAATCGTATATCGCATGCCATGCTTAATTAACGAGGCCGAGTCTAATTATTTCTACCCTAGGGATTTTGATATTTTTTCGTTTATCATTTTTTTACTGTTATATTTATTGTTTAAAGATTAAAAAATCATTATGTTTACTATCCCGATTTCT